GGCCTTAACCCCATGGAATATAATGCATTTTAGTACAATGTAGCGCACATTTCTTTTTTACTATTGTCTTGCTTATTTAGGTTCCATTTTGCATCTTGCATTTAATTGTACGTGCATGCGACATTTGTATGGATATGACAATTTTTGTAATCTTTCGTGCCTTGTGGTTTTTATGGTATATTTGCATAGTAATGTCCTATGCATCTGGTTTTTCTCATAAGGAAGTAAAAAAAAAACTAATTCTAGGTTGCAACACTACAAAAATGTGAAAACGATCCATGGGGCAAATACATAAACTACTGAAGATGTGTACATTTCCAGATTAGCTAAGGCTGTTTACAAGAAATATGGCACCAAAACCTGCTGAATAAGATGCTAAATATGTCCTTATTGTGAACATTGCCCAAGGCAGATGCAAAGCACTGCAACCTACCTCTACAATTACTTACTGACTGACTGGGTACATCTGAGCTTCAAAATCAAAGCAGTAGAGCAAGTACAAACACATAGCTCCTAAGCAGTAGAGCAAGTACAAACACATAGCTCCTAAGCAGTAGAGCAAGTACAAACACATGGGCCTCTATGTTCCCGGCAGAGGAGCTATACAGTGCCCCATGCTGGTACATGACATTTTTATAGTCACTCTTTATATATTTATTTTGTTTATCTGTCCAGGCAGGTGGTGGGGGTCATCTCATGTGCACACTGCTGGTGAGGACCCAGGAAAAATATACTGGGTTCTTATGATTTGGAAAACTATGACTAAAATGTATTAAATTGTATTTATTAAGTTACATTAAAAACAGCTCCCATCTTACACACATCCTCCAGCATTCCTCTCCCTATTAAACCTTTTAGAGACCCAAGCAGTTGCTGAAGGGAAAAAAAAAAAGGTATGATTAGATCTGTGTACATTTATTTTAAACAAACTTACCTTTTTGATTGGTCTTAAAAATTACAGAAAGAAGTGAAGAATATACAATATGCACACTAGTCAGCCTTGCTTATCAAAGTATCTTGCCAAGCCTTATGGAACACTTAACCTCAGCTGGTCAGACAATTTTTACCATTGTTTTGATTTTCTACTGCTGTTTTGCTAGCGTTTGTAAAAGACCCCCCCAACCACATATTTTCTGAAAGCACAATCCGGTAGAATAAGAATGTTAAATGACGCCTTTTTGCGAAAGGGTAAAAAAAATTTAAGAAACGCAAAACTGCAAATAAGCGGCTAAAGTTAAATGTCGTTTGTGCGCTTTGTTGTGATAAAATGATGCAGGCATACATTTAGTTGTATCACAACGCGTGACAATGCATTACAACTCTTTGCCATGCCCTGTCACACAGTTAAATTAATGTTATTTTGAAAATAAAAAAAAAAATCAACCACTGCGCTGCGTTCTAACGCACTGCAGCACATGTATGGCAAATGGAGCAATAAGAGCGTAAATCCTGAAGGTGTGAATGGTGTGGGGACACAATTGGTAAAAATACAATTGGTAAAAATAAAAAATAAATTAAATGCAAGTTAAAAGTGGGGACTTACTTTAGGTGTCAAAGATCCGGGCACCGGGGGCCCCGATGAGATTCTGGCGATGCAAGGAGTATTGTGAGGAAGTGTTCAGTGTATGATAGTCTCCAGATGAGGACTTGGGGGCAAAGCAGGGCAGGTCCTAGGGTTTGGCCATGACGGCTGGAATGGGAGTCATCGGGTGTGTTAATGAACCCAGGGATAGAAGAATGAAGTGAAGACCAGATGTGAACTGGGGGTTGTGTGTGCCGGGGGAGCGGCTGCCTCTGATCTTAGCCGCTGTGTTTTGGGAAGTGGTGAAGTGAAGGTGGCAGAGGGCTGGAGAAGGACGTGCACGGGGCAGTGATGAGGGAGCAATGCGTTTCGAGGAGATCCTCTTTCTCAAGCCACTTTTCTTTTCGAGCTTGAGAAAGAGGATCTCCTCGAAATGCGTTGCTCCCTCATCACTGCCCCGTGCACGTCCTTCTCCAGCCCTCTGCCACCTTCACTTCCGGGGGATGAGGCGCCCAGAATTTTAATGAATAGCTCTCATCAGCAGCTTGATAGCCGATGACAGCTATTCTTTTACAGGGGACCGATCTGATATGTTCTTGGTCACTAACAAGGGTGAAATCCACCGACGTATGGCACACTGGCGTGCCAGCTGCAATCGGTTGCGTTCCGCTGTATGCCATACGTCGGTGGCAGCAAAAGGGTTAAAGTGTTGATGGTGCATACAGAGGATCGGTAAACATCACAGATATATTTACTGATGCTCCTGCTCTCCATCTTGAGCCACGCAGCCACACACAGAACAGAGCCGCTGGCCACACTGAATCTGACAACAGGGGGCTCTGCTTGCCTCACCGCTCGGCTATCTTGACAAGCGGCTCCCCCCCTCAGCACTGTATTTCTCCTCATCGGATCCCCACTGCCTTAGCCCATACAGATGGGGGAGAGCAGCAGGCATCTGAGGAAAAACAGATGACAGCATTAAGCCGCTCTGGGAGGGCAGAAGAAGCAGATATGGGGGGGAAGGGGCGCCCGGAATTTTAATGAATAGCTCTCATCAGCAGCTTGATTGCTGATGACAGCTATTCTTTTACAGTGGACCGATCTGATATACGTTCTTAGTCTTCTTAGTCACTAACAAGGGTGAAAGCCACTGACGTGCCAACTGCAAGCGGTTGCGTTCCGCCGTATGCCACAAGTCGGTGGCAGCAAAAGGGTTAAACCAAGCCAAAGGTTGGAACACGATCAAGAAACCACTTGTCTGCTGTATAATAGTGTCTATACGGAGTCAGTTGTGTTCTGAAATGCCAGGCATACCTAATAAAATGCATGCTGTATTTGGAGAGGAAAAACCAACTAGGACTAATTCCCTTCTATTGGCTACAGAGTGTATTATCACCAATAAGGAGGCTACTGTACAGTACGTAAAAATTACCAGGAACAGCCCTGGTCAACTTGTTTTTTTGGGGTTTATGTTAGGCTGCGCACAAGACAAAGGCCTGGACTGTCATACTGCATGGAGGTTAACTTTGACAAGAACTGCTTTGCCCAGAAGCAATCAATGAGATTCAAACATTTTCTAAAACTATTTTCCTGGGCAGTTTTCAACCCCATTTGGCTGCTTTACTTTCTTTGTTAACATGAAAAATATCTAATGCCGAGTCTTATTTAATAAGATATTAAAATATTTTATTTTCATGTTAAATGCATGCTAAGTAAGGTGTATTTATTACCTCTACCAGAGATCACAGTACTTCTTGACAAATGGCATCTGCTTTTCTCTTCAGAAGAGTGGCAAATTCTTTGTTCAGACTTTATTAGGGGGTCAGCATTTACTTCATTGACCAAGGTGCTGACTCAGGAATGACACATTTAGGCGAATCCATGTGCCTGAGCAATTTACAAAACTCTGGCACTGATTACTCCCCTATTGCATTCTGTTGCCTTGCGGCATACTACAAAAGATAAAATGTTGCAGCACGATTACTGGGAGAGAAATTGCTTACTGGCTACAACTGATCAAAAGCCAGTGGTGCTGGACCTTTAGTATAAAATTAGCATAGAGTGTATGACAATACTCCATGCATAGAAAAGGTAGTGGGTTTCCCCTTGAAAAAAGCAAAACTCCCTCTAACATGCTTTGGTACACTGGATTTGACCACAAACTAAATAAAACTTGTTGTGCCTTAATGATAATTCAGTGGGCAAGTGGTTAAATATAAAAATATGGCAAATTCAAGGTTATACGATCATTTAACAAGAACCTAAAAGGGCATTATCAGAGAATTGAGTGGTAATGGTAGTTAATGGTCAGCTCAACAGATGGAAAAGCTGCCTGAAAAATGTAGACAGGTGGCTGCGGGAGTAGTAAAAACAGTGACAAACAGCTGGGATGGAGGAATTCACATGCATTCTTTACCCCATTTTTTTTTTTGTCCCCTATCAATACATCTCTAACTATATATTTGTTTCCCCATTGAAATCTGTTTACTGGGCATTTAATCAAAGGAAGAGGTCTTTATGAAAGTATATGTTTTATATGTAATAACCAGGTACCTCTTGATAAAATAATCAATCAAGATTAGCATTAGTTTCATTACGGATTATCACATAGCATTTTGTTCACTTACTTTTACCCATATGGATATTTTTATTTACTGCCAATTGTATCCATCTCCTATGTGCTTTTTATCATTTCAGTATTGAGTGTGCTTGTAACCATTTTTTTAATACTCATTTTACCCACTGTTGTATAAACTTCCTCCAGATTTGTTTGTTTTTGATGTTTACCTCCAGCCCTGAAGAAGCCATTGAAACTGTCACTTAAACAACACCCTTCGATATCCCACTCCAATTGGGTGCAAAAATTGAAAAAAAGGGCCTCAGTCATGAAGGGGTTAAACAGAAAGTGATAGTCTTAGGCAAATACACTTCACTGGAGCGCAAGAACTCATTTTTTTAATGATAAAAATAAAAAAGTATACTGCTTCTGTGTATTATGACTTGCAGATTGAAGTTATTGAAAGATCTACGTTAAGGACACTATGATAAATAAGGCAGACTCTGACTGTAATACACACAACCTAACATCTTTCTCATGAAGACGCCATGCTATATGAAATGTATCTATCATTTGTAGGCTTGCTCTGAGAAGACAGGCTTTATTTTCTTTTTTAGCAACCTAATACACTATTCCTGAAAAGTGTTGCAACATTGCTTGCTAGCAGGAAACTTAACTGTTAAGCATGCAAAGGATTGTGCCGTTAAATAAATGATCAAGTATTTTAAATTGAACTGTTATAGAAAGAATTCCAAAATGTCAGCAGGTTTGACATTTTAAAAACAAAAAAATGCTTAGATTTTAAATTCCCGATGTTGCTTGTCTTCTCATTCAGAAAATGTTATCTATGAGCCAGTCCTTTCAGATGCTAGAATTCCAAAAATGGACGATCCTGAAGATTCCAAGTCAACATTAGTATTCTGTGTTTTATCAGTTGAAAGACAAAGATGATGGCAACACTTTACTGTCCAAGACATCAGCCAATAATCCAGCTTTTAACCTCTACAGCTTTCTTTGATCAGTATTAAATTTCAAAGCCACCAAAACCGGACATACACAATAAGCATTACTGAAAACACGGCAACAGCTGCCAGCTTAGCATAGGTGGATCGCATGTTCAGGTATTTTGCATCTTGGCGGTATTTTTTGGACAAACTTGACAAGTTGCTGGCCTTTGTATCCAGTGCTGAAAAAAATAAAAATAATAGATGAATACATTTCCCCTTTAGCATACACATGAACCAGGGGAAAAAAAATAGAAGGAAAATATCTATTGTTACCGATATAATGGTTTATTGTTTTTTATGTACACACAATGAAATATAGTCATATCTTCTCCTGGAATTGTAAATTCAAACAATCCAAAATCTAAACTGGTTTCTTAGACGCAACAATACTTGTAAATCTCAAACCTAAATACAACATAACTAGATTGATAGGTTATAAATATTGACAATTACATCCCTAATTGTACAACAAAAAAATGATATAGTAAAATAGAAGTGCAAATGTAATGGTGAGACTGTTTACAATGGGTGAAGTCTGGCAATGCAAAATGGGAGCACTGTAACCTTTGGTACATGAAGAACACTATGATTTAAAAATTACTGCAGCATCTTAGCTTAATTAATCACATGACTAGGCTGATAATAATCCTGGCTGTGCTCTCTTTTGGACCAACGGGGCAAATGGAAAAGGTTGTGGTGGTGCTCTCTTTTGGACAAACAGGTGTAAGTGATCCTGTCTGCTTCTGAGCAGGGACACACGTAAGGACGTCCAGGTCGGGTGAGCGCAGGGTGGCGTACTCCCATAGAGAAGGACAGGCTGCTGCGTATAATCACACGCAGCACCTGTCCTTCCCGGGAGCTGCCCGCAGCACAGATCTGTATGGGCTGGCCGTTACCCGTGTGAATTAGGTCTTAGGGTTCATCTCTATAAACAAGATTTGCAGCACATTATGACCACTAGATGGAGCCTAGGAACATTTTTTTAAATGGATCCCTAAAGCTAGCCATACACGATACAAATAATCAAGAACCTGCCGAAATGAGCCCAGTGGCTGCCACTGTTGGCACCCTTTTGGCCAGCATCCCTTGATCAGCTGATAAAAAGGAGCGGGTAAGAAATTCTTCGAACGGAGCAGGCAGCCAAAAAACTGCTGGCTTCGATCGGGTAATCTGACAGTGGCCAGCGTTGGAATACAATGCAAACTGTGGGAGATTCCTCAAATGGAGAAATCTAATATTTTCCTACTTCAGCCTGCGGGTTGAGCAAAAAAAAAATAAAAAATTATAACGGTGTATTGCCAGCTTAAGAGTTGGTCACTAGGGAAAAAGAAGGTAAACCTATTAAAAACCTTCTTTAGCATTGTGAATACAAAAAAAAGCCTTAGAGCGGATTTACAAAATAAAGGAGCAAGGTATTCAACCTGTAACTCTGCAGACCTGTAGATTTAACTTGTATAGTAGGGAAGATATTTGTTGGTTTGCTAAAGGACCACATACAAGTGTGTCCACTAAGGAACAATACCAGAAGTGACAGCCAGCATGGATTTATGATGCAATTTATTTTGTCTGCATCTAGAATCTAACATAAATTTAAAATGTTGATCCCATATGGGTCTAGGAGCGAGATAAGGACTTTTTGAATTCAACTACCTACTAAAGCAAAAAATAAATATATGTTTATCCATAAATGTTATAAGTTACAGGTTATAAATGTTATATGCAAGACACAACTTAGTTCTGTTTTTTTTCCCCTTAACATTGTGAATATTTGGGATCCTATGTGCAATCCTTCGTCATATTTTTTTTTAACATAATGTTGAGTCCTCAGGTGTCAAGGCTTTATTTTATTACAACACAGGCTGCTCCATTTGGTATAATGAAGGCAGACCCTCCCCACTTAGTAATAAGTTTTTTTTTGTTTGTTTGTTTTTTTTAAAAAAGGACACAGAGAACCCCAAATCTGTTTTATTTAGAACAGAGAAAGTTGTTTATAGCTCTTGTGCAGGAGATTCTTCCTACTGCTCAACAAACAAATTTTCATAGACACACTTTCTATAGAAGGCAAACATGTACACTAAAAGTCAAAACAATCCAACAGTAATAAATATATATTTCT